TTCAAGATTTCAAATGACTGTAAATCTTTTAATTCTATTTAATACTTACCAATACTTGATAATCCCTTTAGAGCATTCTCTAAACTAGTTTAATCCCATTCGACATCTTCAAAAACCTCAGTTAAGTTATTTGTTTCAAAGAAGAAACATGACAGAGTCCTACAAAATTCTCGTAATTTTAAGGCATTACTGGAAAAAAAATCTCATAACCACTGAAGCAATTCCTGAAATTATTAAATATGAAGGAGAAGGTGTCCTTAACCAGCGCACTGTGTGGCATTGGTTAGAAAAATTTAGCAGTGGAGATACGACTATGGAAAGGAAGAAGGGCTCCGGGTGACCATTAATGGATTTTGATAAGATTCTGCAGCTGTTGAATCAAATCCGTCCATAAGTACCTGCAAACTTGGTAGAGAGTGTGGTGTATCGAAAGATAGTGTTAGTCACCATCTATTCTCCATGGGGAAGGTGAAAAAGATCTGTAGACTGAGCCCTCACGAACTTACTACTCAGTAATAGGCTAAGAGATTAGAAATTTTTGCAAATTTATTGAACAACCCTCGAACTCGAACTCCTGCCTCCTAAACCATATAATATAGACCTCAAATCATTCGGTTTAATATTTATTTAGATCCGTGGACCATTTTCTTCCAGAGAAAATATTTGATAATTTTGAAGTTGAAATTGCGGTCCAAGAGTTCTTTGACAGCCATTACAAAGAATGGTACCAGAATGGGATCGAGCAATTGGCTAGCAAATGGCAAATGATGATAAATAACAATGGTCTATACTTTGAGTATTAATTGTCTATTATTTCAAAGAAATAATAACACAAATATTTGGTTGAAAAATGGTCATTTTTTTTTATACACCCTATTATAACTTTGGAAGAAAAATACAGGAACTAACTACCCACATTTAAAAGTGTTTAAGTGATTGTTGAAGTCATAATAAATGTAATTACAGAAACAGTAATACTTTTAGAAATATTTTTTTATAAGACTTAGTTATATTTTACCATTTTTGGAGGGAAGTAGGCATAAATTATGTTAGGACATATTTAATAATTGATTACTGGCTCTACACCACTGCAAGGAAGACAAGACCTCCGGAATCAATTTCAATTTAAAGTAAATATAAAGTAAGTGTGCTATGTAGAATATTTAAACTCCAGAAATTTCTATATTTTATTGTCTTTGGTACACAGCCTTAACTTCAGAAGCTAACAGGATACCAAAAAAGCTATTCTTAACATCGATACCTTTCTACTATACCTAACTTGGTTTGATTTCTTTTAGCACGGTAATATGATACTTGGTTGAGTTTAGGTAATTTATTCATTTATGTAGTTATATATTAAATTGTTAATTTATTTTATTATAAGCTTCTAACTGATATGAAGACATAATTTGATAGATGTATTCTACAATTAATCAAATTACAAATCCAGATAAGAAATGCCATATTATTTTTAATTATCATGTAAAAACAATATGCATGACCTTAAAATAAATAAAATATACTTCTATACAATTTTTTAAAATTAATCTTAGGGAGAAGAAAACTGACTAGTTGTTCTAGCTAAACTAGATGAGAACTACTAGGCTTCTGCCTAAAATTAATTTTTTAAAACAGTTTAGAATTATATTTAATATATTTAAAAGCCGTGCATAATGTTTTGTAAATGAAAATTTAAAATAATATGCCATCTCTTGTCCAGATTTGTAACTCGTTTAATTATAGAATACATCCATTATCATCTATTATTTTTTCTTCTGCTTGAATGTGACAACTGAAAAAGCGATAGTGATGACAAAAGATAAAGTTAACTGGATGATATGCAAATCCTTAAAAATAATCAATTCTCTTTTTTCTTATTATATACATTTTCTTATAATAAGAGAATGCAATATAATAAAAAAAAAAAGTGTATTTAATAGATTTATCCGGTGAGAAAAAATTTCCAGTTAAAGGTTTGGAACCCTGGCTGTGTAAGAAGGGTGCAGTTACATGGCATGACAGAAATTATTACTTTAAATTTGTTGAGAAAACTTGATTACCACATATATTAATCTTTGACTTCGCTTATTCAATTCTGTAGAAAACTCTTTAAATTTGATATTTATGTTTTAGTAATATCTATTGATTGATACATATGTTGAAGAGAAGGATGTTTGGGGTGTTCAGTCAAATTTAAATGGTAAAAAATAAATAATTTTATTTATTTTTTACCGTTTCAATTTGACTGAACACCCCAACCATCCTTCTCTTCAATTATTCGCTACAGTCAACCATAAACCCACAATGATAAGTATCTTGTATGATTTACCAAATCAACGTGGTTAAACAGCTGTGTAATTTTATTGTAGTTCTCTCTCTCTTCTAATGGGAACCAATCATATTTTTTACAATAAACAGAAAGAAAATTTAAATCAGTTTATCATATACAAATCTATAGCAAACTAGATAGGTTTGTTAAGTTCTGGATACTTGGCCAGAATGAATAAGCAAGAGATTCCAAGAAGGGCACTTGAGGAAAACATGCATCAAGCGAGAGGTTCAACGAACCAAAGTGGAAGTAGACCAGTGGTGAGACACCATATCTGTCATATTACTATCGTTAAAGCTTACTTGGGATTAAGAACTGAAAAGAAGTAGCCTAGACTCACTTGGAGGCAGATTATTGAGGAGGCTAAGATCTAGCCTGCATTGTAGATTAGTTATTATATCGCATAAAAAAATGTTATATCCACGAAAAATAGTATAAAACTAAAATATTTCAAAAGTAAAACAGAAATATCAATCATTTACATATTTCTCATTAAACATTCACACTTGCCACATTTTGAGTAATTAATTTTCAACATAAATCTTATCTTGAGTCTAATATTGTTTTTGCATACCAGAAATAAGTATATAGTAATTCTATAATTAAAAAAGACAGTATAAGTAGAACTACGTGATAAATTACTTTGTACTTTTCAAAGTAACTGTTGTAATAGATGTAAATTTTAATGGTGATTCATTAATAAATGAAATTTCTGAATAATATCAGAAATTCATAGTTCTTTTTTTTTTTCAAAAGATGAAATTATATTTTGTGGAATTTTATGACTTTCAATAATAAACTTTTTTAACAAACACGAAATAGAATATAACAGAAAGCAAATCAAGGAAACTACATATTTTCAAAACAATTTAACTTTTTTTTTTGTTACTTTGATTGATTTTTGTAATGAGAAAGGAGCAGAATTGTAAATCCAGAGATTTTAGAATTTGTATATAACTTACCCTTTAAGAATAAGAATCATGTGCATTTTAAAATTACAATTCTGTACTTTGCTTTACAAATTGAAATTAAAAAAGTCAAAGATTGTAGCATGTGATTACAAAAGCAACATTTCCTTACCAATAAGATTCTAATCTTAAAGATACTTAGTACTTAAACATAAAGTTCATAAATATTAAAACTAAAATTTTAAATAGGAGCAGTGCAGTGGGCCAAGCTATAACATGGTGGCTTCTAACTGAAATTGCCTCCAAATCTTATAACTAATGCTGCCACAATTAATAATTTTTAATTTAATTGATTATTCTAACTAATGCATTAAAACAGAATTATTAATTAAGAATAAGTAATATATTTCTTACTTTAACATAATGAAAGTATGCTATTTCTGAAAATTTGAAGAGAAAAAAATTGTAAGTACCAACCTTTTGATAGACTACTAAATTATGAATAGGTAATTCATTTTAAACACACTAATTAAAAACAATGTATAGTTAATTCATGATTAATTAGTTATGGTTAAGAAAAATAATTATAATTAACACATCTTGTTTCTTACATTTTATATATTTATTTTTAGTTGTGCAGTCATTGCATTTCTTGACTACTTGGAGAGGGGGGTAAAGTGATATTGAAAAGCCAGCTGAATATTATATGTAAACTTTAATTCAAGTAATCTATTGGTAGAATTAATTAACAAAATTAACTAATGGAACAATTCATCCAAATACTGAAGTTGATTTTTTTATTTTTAAGTCTAGTTGTAAAATTTCCATTTCCAATCTAAATTATCTCTCTTTTTAAAATATACTTTATCATTAAGTATTATTACTAAAATACTGCTAAGACCCTCTACTGAGCTCTGAAGTCTAAACTTATTTTAACCATAAGATTTTGGAAGTGGCTGAAAAGGATCAAAAATCCTTTCATAAAAACATTTAACAAAACAAAAACCAGAATTTTAACTTTATGGTTTCAGTTAGTAACTCTTTGAATTTATTAAAACTTCATTGAGGAGAGACCAAAAGATTTTGGATTACCACTTGGAGCCACCATCCTTCTTAATATGGTCCTGCTTTGAGAAATCTAAATCGTTTAGGAACTTGGCCTTTTTTTTTTTTTCTCGCCGTTTTTCATTTAAATGAAAAACTGAATTTCTTTCCAGAACTGTTAAATTATCATGTTAACAATTATTAAACAAATTTAAAGTGTTAAATGTTTTTTTAAATTACTAACTGTAAGTATTAAACATTTTATTTTCACAAGTTTTAACTCCTAATCATAAATTATAAAGAGAAGGAATGAGTGCTCTATATTGTGAAGTGTGTACAATTAAAAGGAGTAAGCAAGTAGTGGTAGATAAAAATTATCCCCTCCCCCTCACTTCTCAGAGAAAAAGAAATGATCAAATCAAAAGAATAAACAATTTTTCAAAATTTACTTATGGAAAATAATAAAAACTGTATAATGATCATTATAAACTAAATAAATTTTGATTTTATTAAAACATTAGTTTTTTAGATGATAATTAGTTTTTTAAGTATTATGAATTATAAGTAATTATATTTTCTTTAATAATTGTAACAGTTAAAAAAAATGTTAAGTGAATTGATTTTCCCCAACAAAAAATAAATAAACAATAAATTAAAAAATTATATTTTAGTTGAAACTGTAATTGGCAAGCTTTGGCTACACTGGTCATAAACCTTTTCCATTGAGCTCTGTTTATCTGACCACGTGTAGGTGATCATTTTCACGTTCTTTATGTATTATTAGTTCATATTTATAGGTATTAGTGTTTATTTATTCGTAATATCATTTTGTCTTTATTTTTACAGAAACTCAACTTTTTAAATATGACTATTGAAGACGAATCGTAAGTAAAATTTATATTGTTTTTCAAAATGGATTATAAAGACCTTGTATTCCTTGTAATAAGTTTTCACATTGTTTTGACCATTATTTTTTATCCAGGGGCCCATCTGGCGACTCAGTGGACATAAATACCGCTCTTAAAGAAGTACTAAAAGGAGTTGTGAGAAATGGAGTCATAGTACATGGTCTGAGGGAGTCAGCTAAAGCTCTTGACAAGTAAGGCATAATTTATTGAAGTAATTAATTTTTGAAGTTCCTTTTGCTTATAATTATCCACTTGTGCGCTATCTGTTTTCATGAATTAATATGTTAATTGTTGTAGGTTTAAGTGTGCATGTGGCTTAATAGTTCAATTATGCAAAAAATTATCCTATTAGTTACATTTAGAGCATGTATCTCAAGCTCATATTAAGTATTGTTCCGAAGATGAAGGTTTTGTATTAATCTTGGTTTTCGCGTTATAAGAAGTCATTCTAATTAACTTAGCGTTTGGTTCAATTAAGGGAGTATAGTATGTGCAGTTAAATCTGTTATGTTGACATGGATGAGACGAAGTAATTATTTACTATTAACTAAAGAATTGTTTATTCTCTAATTACAAATGCTTGACAATGTTGTTATTTTATTCACTAGATTATTTTGAGATAAACCATTTTCAATGTTTTAAATTAAGTATTTAACTAGGTAAATTTAAATCTGTTTGGATTTCATTAATTAGAAAATTTTGCACTACCTCGGTAGTTCAGTCCAATATGATGGATGAGATTAAGATCATATAATCATACTATATGTGAAAGGTTAGATTAGGTTTCCTACAAAAATATCTGACAGATACATTTTTCTGAAGATATATATACAGCTTAATTATTTATGTAACCAAATATAAAAATTTAGGTGTATACATAACAATATATATCAAGTATCTTGTTTAAAGCCTCCTGTAGCAAGATCCATCCAAACACTGCATTGAAAAATCTATGGTAGTATTTACAAAATAATGTTTAATTAAGTATCTGTGAAATGAAGATGTAAAAACAGATACAATCTTAGGATTTTAGTAACAATTACGGTATTATTATGCGAGTGTTGATCCACTGGTGAATGGGTCTAGATCTCACGAGCACACTGTAAGTGGAATTTCGAGAATGGCTGAGTATTGGCAACTTGTTCACAGTATAACCTATCTTGATTTAGATTAAAATTGTCCCTTTTCATTACATGACAATTATTTAGTAGTAGGTAATTGAAAATGTCAAAGATGAAAGTGTGCACAAATTTAAAGCTTTATTTTTTGTTGAGCCAGCGTTCCTAACGAATGTCCAAAACCTATGCTGAGACTTTGGCACTCTATAAAATAAAGCTGTTTATTATTGAGTTCTTAAATCTTTGAGCACACCACCAACTAACTTTACTATTTGATCTTTGGTCAACAATATCTCCTTTAATTAAATTGTTTAGTTTTATTTTAGACTTGTAATATATCTTATATAAGTTACTAATCTAAAATTGTATAGTGGATCACAATAATGTCAGGAAAAATCAAATTGTATTTATTTCAATATTCAGCTCGTAGTATCGCTCAAATGATAAGGATGCATTGGATCACACAGTTATATATGTTTAATAACAATGTATAGGAATTGGTCATCAGCATATTCTTTTGGACAAACTCAGCCTCTTTCAAATTTCATCTATGATCTTATATCCATCCATCATGTTAAGTGTTTCATTTGTGAAGTAGTAATATTTTTTTTACATAAAATCAGTATGCACTTTAATAGATTATTTAATTTGTTCTATATTATTTGCTTTGATTCAAATAATTTTTTTTTGTTTTTGTTATTTACAAGCATATATTTATTTCTTACGTGAAGAACTTTCAGTGATGAGGAGACAATTCTTGTGGTGTATACTGTTAAATTTCAAAATAACTTTAATCAAATAAAAATTTACTGATTTCAAAACTTTAATTATTCTATATCTGGTTCCGTGCTATTTAGAAACAAAATTCTTCATTTTTTTTAAGACATTATTTCTAAAATGCCTCAATGAATTTTTATATTCATGCTGACATAAAATCCAGTTGTTTAGTTCTTTTGTAGGCAGAACATATTTTATCAACCAGCTGCTCTGCTGGTTATGGACCTTCCATTGCTCTTTTTCTCTCTCTAACAAATATCTTACGTTTAATTTTTTTTTTTTTTTTCAGGCGACAGGCATTACTGTGTGTTCTGGCCGAAAACTGTGATGAGCCCATGTACAAGAAGCTTGTGCAAGCTCTCTGCTCAGAACATCAAATACCATTAGTTAAGGTCGACTCCAACAAAAAATTAGGAGAATGGTCCGGTTTATGTAAAATCGACAAGACAGGAAACCCAAGGAAAGTTGTTGGGTGCTCTTGTGTAGTTATTAAGGTATGTATATCCATTTTTTGGCTGGTGTTTGTTGTTTGAATTTCAGCTATTCGAGTGGTTTTAAACTTACTAAGTTTTTAAATCTTTGAAATATATTTAAATAATTAATGAAAAAACTAGTTTTCATCCATTTTCACAACAAATTATTTTTTTTAATATTATAACATTCTAACGTTCACATAATTTTTGAAAGGAACTTGTGCATCACTAGAAACATCCATTTTGTAAATACATGCATTGCTTTTCAACCATTTTTATCTGACAGATCTTTTGCTCTATTTAATTTGTCAAGGCAGCTTTACACATATCTTCTAATGCTTCACATATCAACAAATGGGGTAGTGTTAACTATCTTGTGTTACAGAGGATTATTTTGGTTTAAGCTATTTTTATTTTAAAAACGAAATCAGCAGATATACTAATAACTTTTAAAATCTCGAACATTAACCATTTCTGCATGCTCTTCAATTTCCTAAAATTCAATAGACAGACAATACATATAGACAGTAGACAAATTGCCCACAAACACAAGAACATAAATCCTAATAAAAACAAGCACCCTGTTATTATACTGGTTTAATGTTTGGTGAAAACTGCTTCAGAAGAATAGTTAAGCTTGAACAAGTTTTACTTTTCTTTGTGAATAACAAAGATCATCTTGGTATTATTTATTTCATCATTTTGTGGATTGTGACCAAATCATAGCTTTTTATAAAATTTATACTTTTTATCATCCTGTTCATTCATGACCAAAATTCTAAAATCCTGAAATTTGTTCTTTTTTATAAACGGTTTATTTCTGAAAAATATAATTATAAAAATTTTCAAATCTGAGTTTTCAATGGAAATACACTTGAGGTCCCTTGAGTTCAAATAACAAAGTCCCCCAAAATGGTGTGTGTGTGTGTGTGTGTGTGTGTGTGTGTGTTTGTGAACATTCTAGCTTTAGACCTTAAGCTCGGTTAGAAATGCACTTCAAAAATTTTACAATAGCCCGACATAACCAGAAAATAATTTCTAATCTATATGATTTAAATTTTCTATTTTTGTTAGTATTTATATTTATTTCTTTGTTTTAGGACTGGGGCGATGATACACCTCATCTAGATGTACTCAAAGATTATATGACAGAATCCATGTGATTGTGTTTTATATAATTTTTTAATATAATGTGGTTTTAAGGTGTTTTTGTTTTAATTTCTTCCTTTGATTCTCTCTAAATAGCAATCTTAAGTGAAATGAAATTTAATTTAAGACTAAATACTTGTGGAAAAAAAATCCTGTAAACTTTAATCAGAAAATTGTCTTGAAAAAAAAAAAACAGAAATGTAATTAGCAATTATATTTGCTCGACTGACTTCATAATTTCAGTTGATGTTCTAAAGTTTTATTTACTTCTTCAAACTATTTTGAGTTATGGAAATTAGAAGTTTCAATCTAATGTAATTGATTGAAAACAAGATTACTTCTAGTTTTTGTTATTGCCTAGGATGGCAATTACTTGTTATCTTGTTTTAATATACAAAAATTACCTTGAGATTGGTTTCTCAGAAGAGCTTTCATTTATATATGTCCATTAAAGATAATTCACAAGATCTCTCACATTAGATAGTTATAATTCTTCCTAGTGCATTCGACATTTAACTACATCAGCAAAACATTTAAATACATATATTATCAAAAGAGTTAATTCATCACGTACAATTGGTGAAGCTTCATACTTTACCATAATTGTTGAAGTAACCATTTATTTAATAAGTGGTTAGCTTGTCACCAGAAAATATCTCTCCAGTTCAACAATTAGGCAATCTTACACAGCTATCCCTGAACTTATTATTGAACAAGGTGAAAACCTTTTTTTGAAGCAAGAGTGTCTTGATTTGTAGTTCTGCTTCTTACCAAGAGTTTAGAAGTCTGTTCCTAAGAATGAAGTAGCCATAATCATAATCTTTTTTTATTTATTAATACCAAAAAAAATTTCTTCGGAAAAGGGACCGAAGTACCATATTGTTAATGTTAGTGCGGAAGGTCGTATGCAACAATTTATTACATATTTATTCTCTTTGCCTAAGGCTAACTGGCCACCGAAAACTCAGCCATCAACTTTCCTTGCATCTGTATCCTTATGTTTCCTATTACATTTTAAAAAATTAGCTAAGGTGATCGTGTCTGAATCGAAAAGAAAAATCGAATATTTACCTTACACATTCGATTAACAATTCTTCCACATCCTTTGCATATTTTATACTGAACCAAAAAAAAATAATTTGAGAGGTGCAGTGAAAACAAGTGGATGACATTTTTGAAAATGTAGCAAAGTTAATCATGTCGAAGTTGAAAAGCAAAACAAATATTTGTGTATAAAATCGAATATTTTTCCATACACATTTGATTATAAATTCTTCCAAGTCCATTGCATATTTTAAACTGAACCAAAATAAAATAATTCGAGAGGTTGTTCAGTGAAAACAATCAGAAAAAAAGGATGACACTAAAGAACAAAGCCCCACAGTTGTGTGACAGTGGTGGGGAAAGCTGAGCATACAGTCAGCTCTGCTGCGCTTTCGGTGGCCTGTCGTCCTAAAAGTGACATTATGTAGCCTGCTGCAGAGGGAAATTATCCTCACATATATTATTACCGTAAGGCTCTAAATCGGTTTTGTACCAAATATAAACTACTGTCATGCTCAAATACCATGAATGGGGTACCGTTGGATTCAGAATTTCACGGGGGGTTAGTGAATCGTATTCTCCACTTTTGTTTTTCTTTCTAAAATAAATTAAGTCGAGACAAACATTTTGCTAGGCTTCAATACTGTAACGGTGGTAGGTCTGTAGATTGATACGGGATAAATTGGATCTTGAAGATTTCAATGCGTACAGCAAGACCCAGATAGTTCCTCTGGAACTATAGAATCCTGCATTTTTAAACCCAAAAATGTACTATTTTCGAGATAACGCAAGGCATATGGTTCGCATCCACACAACCTTACATTAATTGTAGTACTATCATTGAATACATTTCTCATTTCGTCGACTTTGATCGAGAGAGGAGGAGTTAATATTATTTATCGATGGTATTTTTGATCGGCAAGCCATATCATCGTTAATTTTTCACCAAATCTCAAGGTTGAGCCACCAATTTCGAAGGCTTCCTTCTTCAGGCGGGCAAAATAGTCCAATCATCCCAAAAATTCAGGCAAACAAGTTTTGAAAGAAAACAAATTTTATTTGCAAATAACTAAAACATTACACTTTTCCCTTGGTTATGCCCCTGATTATATAAAAGATTACTAAATTCCCTACAAAATAAAAAAAATCATTGAAATCGGACAATATTTAGCAAAGATACAGCTTACTGAAATTTGTATACATGTTGGTTCCAAACAGAAATGAAGATTTAAATTAATTTTTGTTTTCTTTGTCGATTATATTTATCTATAAAGGAACATTTGATTTCTTTATCTTTTGATATGTTGCATTATTTTATTTTATTATTAATTTGGCTTTTGATAACAATATGTTGTGCAAATTTTTTGCACGGGCCTACTAGTACTAATAAATTGTAAAGAAATAATCTGTTTTATTCTGAACTTTCATTCTAAAATAACAGATCTTAATATCAACAACTGATTATTGATCAAGAAATGAAAGAATAGGATAAATTATCTTCAAAATATTTTCTAAAAAATGAACCAACAATTCATTGTCAACAATGTGGAACAATTTAACCAATTAGAGGAAGTGACCACAAATTAGGTATCTTCATTCATAATCATGTTCACAAACAAATTACGTAATCGTGGTTATACACAATTTTACATCAAGTATAGTACAGTGTGTTCATTGATTTCTCATGATAAACAATTTTTCTTTTTCATTATTTTTTTTTCTAACCATATTTTGGAATCTATTAAGAATAATTAATAAATTAAAATTGTTTTTGTGCAAATAATGGAAATTTATTTTCTTGCTTCTTCGCTATCAAACATAAAGGAAGCTTTATATTAATATTGGTGGTTTAAAATTTGGTTCTGTCAATAATTTTCACTCGCCACATTTTAGACAATGGAGATGGTTGCATGTCTCTCTGTAATTGATAAGTACATCACCTATCTTTTTGTTTATTCAATTTTTTTCAAATTTATAGGCTGAAGAAATTATATTTTCAAAATCTCATTGGATTTGGCTCCAAATCATAGGAAATTTAGAGATTAGTGAAGAAATAATCTGGTACCATCTCTGTATAATTCCATTCCTTATTTTGCTTATAGATCCACAAAAGTCTTACAGTATAATCTCAGTAATTTGAACTTAGTCTGAACAGACCAAAAATAAATGACTAAACTATGTGGTTATCCAGTTAATAAAGCTGCATATAAGTTTTAGAGATTCAATATTTTATTATATGCTGTTTTTTCCAACATTCCCACAGCTATTAGGTTGAATTACAGATAAAGCAATAACTGTATATTAATAAAATAACCTTAAACCTGACTAATGGAAATTTGAGAATGAATATAAGCATAACTTGTTTACTTAATGCTTTGTTATTATTCTTCTTGTCAAGCCGACATTAAAATCAATAAATAAAAAAAATATGAATTTATTAAAAAATGCTTTTATGTATATAAATATATATGTTATTTATATATAGCATATATATATATATATATATATATATATAGATATATATATATATATATATATATATATATTATATATATATATATATATATATATATATATATATATATATATATATATATATATATATAAAAGGATTGTTTAATAAATTCATAATATTTTTTTTTTATTTATTGATTTTAATGTCAGCAATCATAATCAATAAATAAAAAAAATATTGAAAAATGCTTTTTTTATTTATTGATTTTAATGTCTGCTATATTTGAGTATGTATAAGATATAAATATATATTTATATATATATACAGAGAGAGAGAGAGAGAGAGAGTAGAGGGTTTATATAATGTGAGAAACATGCTAGAGACAAGGATGTCTTTCTTATTTATTTTTTTTATTGAACACCTGACCCACCATTTCTGGGATACAAGGGGGTTGTTCTAGAGGTACAACCAAAGTGGGAGGGTTGAGTTTCATTATGTGGGTCCGCCACCTAATAAAAGTCAACCACTCCCAGGCTAACTAATTATTGGAAAAATTTCAAACCACACAGCCTTATGTCTCTAAAATGCAGGCACAAAAAAATCCGTCTACGTTTTGCCAGCCCAGGCATCATAAGGACAGGAAAGAACAGCTAATCAAACATCACTCCATGAAATCCAAATGAATACTTCACAGTATTCTTTCATTCCAAGTATTATTTGGATTTCATGGAGTGCTGTTCTATTAGCTGTTTTTCTGGGCTGACGAAATATTGAAGTCTTTCCCTGCATTTTAGAGACAAGGCTGTGTGGTTTTGAAATTTATCCAATAATAACCTTTAACATTCATATTCTGCCTCTAGAGTTCATGGCCTCTAAACTGACCATACCACGATACTTCTTTAACTTTACACTGTCTAAATAAAAATATTCTCCAGGTCCTTCAGAAGTACCAGTTACCAGTGAGCCCATCATTATAGTGGATGGGCCAAGCACTTTTACGACGTGTCCAATAAACTGAATGCCCTGTATCAGCAATCACTGGAACTCCAAACCTTTGGGCATATTCAGCCACCTTATACACAGCAATAGCCTGTGGCCTTCCTACTGCCATTACTTCTTGAGTGATACATATAGAACCACTACCCATGCCAACCCTCAACCCATCAATACCAGCATCAATTAAATTCTTGGCTTGAGCAACAGTTATGACATTTCCGCCAATCACTTGTAAATCAGGATATTTCGCCTTTATATGGTGTATCATTTCAATTTGAAAACTTGAATTTCCTTAAGATGAGTCTAGAACTACAACATCCACACTAGCTGCATCTAAAACTTCCAAGCCTTTCTGATCTTCTACACCTGTTTTTCAGGTCAGTGTGAACAATCAATACTATAAGACCGCCATAACCATTAACGATAGATAATTTTCCTTTTTTAGATTCCTCTAAAATTTGATTAGCTTTCTTCAAAGTAACTCCTGATTCTGCAATCACAATATGTTCTAGCTTTGTCATAATCTTCTCTACAGTTATTTCTTTACTGTTCCTACCTTCTACAAAGTCTCTGGATATTAGAACAGCACACAGCTTACCTCGAAGTTTACCATTTTCTGAGATTGAAAACCACAAAATCCGTGTTACTTCTTTGCTTCAAACACATCTGCAACAGTATGCTTCGTTTATGAGCTATTGTTATTTGAGGAGATAAAAGAGAAGAAGCAGTGGTTCCCTCTAAAGTTCAATGAAGTACTTCCGATCAGTTCATAGTGTTTTTAGTCCTTCTAGTTATTACCTCCTGTAAGTTTACCAATTGAAGCAGGAGACTCAGGAGGCTGTTCCACAAACTGAAAAGTTGTTCATAAATCAGAGGTAAATAAAAACAATATATTTATTTCAAAATAAATGAGGTATTTACAATTCTAAAAAATCAAGAGGAAATTTCTAGAGAACTGTAAAAATTATAAAACAAAGAGGGTAAAATATATGCTTGAACTTCAGTTTAATACATCCTCACTCTTTTGAATTCTCTATTTTTAACCTTTGAAAGGTCCTACGGTACTTATAATCTTGCTAGTGTGTGTTTATTTTATCTTATAACCGAAATATCACAAATCACTTATGAAGTGAGATTTGTATCTTATCACTCTAGTGTGAAACACACCTTATAGTTAAAATAAAGAGCTTCATTATTTTCTTTTCACAAACAAATTATGACCTTTTATTCAATAGTTTTCAAGTTTGGAAATCTTTAGGTCACTAATATCTCTATGTACGAGTGGAGCTCTATGGCATAGAGTGCGCTGTAGTGGAGGAAGGTTGTCCAATCTGTAGAATGTTTGAATAGTCTTCTGGCGGATACCGTCTGGAAAGGTAGGGAGAGTTTTAATTGGGGCCACGTGTCATTGATATATTTTTCTATTTCTTTAATTTAGTATTTGGTTGCTAACATCGAAAATGGGTGAAACAGAACTTCCTGCCGATGGTCTTACTGGAAAGGAGATGTTTGGAAATGGTGATGGATTAACATACAACGACTTCATTATTCTGCCGGGATACATTGATTTCACAGCTGATGAGGTAGACTTAACTTCTTCTTTGACTAAGAAAATTTCCCTTAAAGCACCATTGGTGTCATCTCCGATGGACACGGTTACTGAGGCTGATATGGCCATAGCAATGGCTCTTTGTGGAGGAATTGGTATTATTCACCACAATTGTACTCCAGAATACCAGGCCAATGAAGTACTTAAAGTGAAGAAATATAAACATGGATTCATAAGAGATCCTGTTGTGCTTTCTCCTCAACATACTGTCGCGGATGTTTTTGAAGCTAAGAGGAAACATGGGTTTTGTGGTTTCCCAATTACAGAAAATGGTAAACTTGGTGGTAAGCTTTGTGGTATTGTAACATCCAGAGATATTGACTTCCTGGAAGGTTCAAATAGTAATGATGTCACTGTAGAAAAAGTAATGACAAAGTTGGAACATATTGTGAGTGCAGAATCAGGAGTTACTTTAAAGAAAGCTAACCAAATTCTAGAAGAATCCAAAAAAGGCAAATTACCTATCTTGAATGGAAATGGTGAGCTTGTAGCATTAATTGCTCGCACTGACCTGAAAAAGTCAAGAGACTATCCTCATGCTTCAAAAGATGAAAATAAGCAACTTTTGGTCGGTGCTGCTATTGGTACACGGGTTGAAGATCAGAAGCGCTTAGAAGTTTTAATTGCTGCTGGTGTGGATGTTGTAGTTTTGGACTCATCTCAAGGTAATTCAATTTTTCAAATTGAAATGATCCACCATATAAAGGCGAAATATCCTGACTTACAAGTGATTGGCGGAAATGTCGTAACTGTTGCTCAAGCCAAGAATTTAATTGATGCTGGTGTTGATGGGTTGAGGGTTGGCATGGGTAGTGGTTCTATATGTATCACTCAAGAAGTAATGGCAGTTGGAAGACCCCAGGCTACTGCCGTTTATAAGGTGGCCGAGTATGCCAAAACATTTGGAGTTCCAGTGATTGCTGATGGAGGAATTCAGTTTATTGGACATGTCGTAAAAGCATTAGCACTTGGTGCATCTACTGTAATGATGGGTTCATTGTTGGCTGGTACTTCAGAGGCTCCTGGAGAGTATTTTTATTCGGATGGCGTTAGGTTGAAGAAGTATCGTGGTATGGGCAGTTTGGAAGCCATGAATAGAAAAGATGCCTCAGGAAGTGCCATGAACAGATACTTTCACAGTGAAGTGGATAAAGTAAAAGTTGCCCAAGGTGTTAGTGGATCAATAGTTGATAAAGGTTCTGTTTTGCAATTTTTGCCCTATATTAAAACGGGAATCAGGCATAGTTGTCAAGATATTGGAGCCCGAAGTGTTTCTGTTCTTAAAGACTTGATGTATGCTGAAAATCTAAAATTTGAAAGAAGAACACATTCTGCTCAAAGCGAAGGAAATGTTCACAGTTTATTTTCGTATGATAAATGTTTGTTTTAACTTCTAACTTAAACTTACATTTTTATTACAAAATTGGACAGTATTATGTTGATTTTAATTGTTATCAATGTTGTAAACTCGACTAAGTCTTTCGTGAATGTTATTCACACCAGATGTTTTACATCTCCTAAATGTTAAGAATATGAAGTTAATATAATTTATATTGTTTTTGTTTAATGTGATATCTTTCTATAATATTAATGAACTGATGAACCATTTATTAATTTTATTTTAGATCATGAATTATATTTATAATTTTATATTTCTCCAAATTAATTTTCGCAAATGAGTCTGTTTTGAAATGTGAATTTTTTATTCCTTTATCCTATAATGTGAAAAAAATTTTAATATATATATATGTGATTGATAGTACTTTTTGTGTATATTCATTCTCCTTTAAAATATTCTCTTATCTGTATCTTTCTTTTTTAAAGCTATCCCAGTTGTGATCCTCAACTTCTTTTTCTTTTTGTCTTGTTGAAAGACCTTCCAGTTGTTATGTAACTTCTTTGTATTATATAATACTCTTGGGTGTTATATAATTATGAATTAAATGGTGGATCGTGTTTCATATTGATTTTTAAAACCTTTCATGTTGTCACATTAACAGTAAATGCCGTATTGTATTTCTTGGTTGTATCATTATTAAAATAGTGTTTACTATTTTTTATTATAGTCGTGACTATTTTGAAATAATACCGTTGTCACTTATAGTTGTCAAAATGTTTTGTATTTAAAATTAAATAGTCTGCTTTGTTACAGTATTTAACTATTGAAAGTTAGTCTATCAGCAATTTATCGTCCTGTTAAATTATTTTTTTGACTCTTCTTCATACTTAAAAAAAAAATATGAAGGAAGTGGTTTATGCTTTCCACAAAAATTCATCAGGATCTCGAAATGAAAAATTTAAAAATTAATTCATATCGTAATTTTTTTAAATTATAAAGATGATTTAAAACAATAATTTAACCACCAAAAATACATAAAAACTTCCAGTTTTTATTTCAATATTTGAAAACTCAGAAATCCTAGTATGAAGAATTTATCTGTGCATCTTCAAGTCAGCTTAAAAAATTTTATTGAACAGTAAGTTTTTAATTCAAGCTATTCAATAAATAAGAAACTAATCTTAAGAAGATAAAAACAATTAAATAGGTACATTAATTTAATATGATCTTATTTTGATATTACTATAATGTTAAAGTCAACACAGATCCTGTTTCAAATAATCTTTATTTGTTTATCTTGTTTAATAAACATGCTGTTATTTGTCAGCAACATTTTTATTCTAAAAATATATTAATTGAATACTTACTCAAATTAAAGACATAATTTATTCAAATGATTATCCCAAATCATCTCTTTTATTAAATCATGCAAAATTGAAATTTCACGGGGTTCAATGCTGTTTTATTCATTCAATATGTATGTAAAAAGAATTAGCTGTTTTTTTCTTTTATTTATTATTTGTGTTGGTATGAATAGATTAAGAATAAAAAGGGACATTATTACTGAAAACTGGAATGAATAAAAATAAATTCAATTAATATATTTTGTTTTATCTTTCATATTCCTAATGTTACTGTAAAAGTTTGTATATACCAATTTTACATGTTTATTGTCTTTGCGCTGAAGGTGACATTTTTTAGTCTGCAACTGCTATAAGTAGTCGACTAAATAGGAAAATAGCAGAGGGAAATAAAATAATAAATTATAAAGAAATAATAAATTTTTATGTCTGTAAAAAAACTCTATTTTTACATACAACTTTTTTCACTAACAGTAGTGATATTCAAATTCTCTGGAAGAAAGCACCTTTTTCATTCATACTAATATCAAAAAGAAAACATCTATTTTCTTCTCTCATTCTTCAATTACTAATACAGTGCATTACATTATGTATTAAAATGATATAGCCTTTATTTATGCGGAAATTAATACATAATAGAATCATATAAGCATATATTATTTAAATGAGAATAAATAAATTGACTATTTTTTCCCTTCTTCTTTTCATGCATAGGCCTTCCCTTTCAGGAGTAATAGTCAGCACTTCTCAATGTGACTAGTTCTATCAGGGGTTCCCTAGAAGGGGATTTGATAGTGCACCTTGCACCATTAAAATTTTTGAGGTCATATTTTGGCGGATTTTTGAATTATTTAGGGCAACACATTAAAGTGGGGTCGTGAATTTTCAGAACGAAAACTTTCATATTAAGGAACAAGAGGAAAACATGGAACAGACAGCAGCAAGTGTAATATCATCTACGAATTTGAGGAAACGAAAACATTTTTCTGTGTTTATAACTAATGAATAATCTACAATATTGAGATTTCTACAAAATTTTTACCCAGAGATAAAAATTAAAATATTTGATACTTTTATTTACAACTAAGCAACATATGACTCAAATTTCCTCCTTTTAAGTTATTTTATGGTCTAGCTAAATGGAGCCTCTACAATATTAATTAAAAACTATTATTATATGTTTATAGCATACCTTTCTTATTAAGAAAAGGATTTTTTAAATTATTTATCGAAAAAAAAATTGTTAATATTGTGTGGATAGGACCATGCATTATTAATTACACTTAAATGGAAAGTTAGTATAATGGTGTAGAGATAGTTGACCATGATTATGATATCAGAAGGAGTTGGTCAAGGGTACGATCAAATAAATACTATAAACTAGAATAGTATTTTATTAGTTACGCCGAGATATCGATTAATATTTGTTACAAAAAATTAAAAATTAATTAATTATTAAATCAAATTAAAAAGGTTAGTTACGACACAATTTGGTATAACTTAAAAAGTAATACTGTTTTCTACTGAAATTCTATTTTGTTTTCAGAAAAGTTGTTAATAATACCATGATTTTATTGTTTAAAAAGCCAATTTTTTCTGCACAATTCAAAAGTAAATACACATATATCTGAGGTTGGAAGTAGTTATTTCCAACAGAACAATATATACAAGTGGTTCTTGTATTGAGCTCTTGTAACCAATCGGTGATTAATATGCTCCAGTTATTTTAGCAGGATCTATTAAGTTTGAGCAATATAAATATTCCATGTGTATAGTATTTTATACTGGTCCGTACATAACACATTACCTAGAACAAAATAATAATATTTGGTCATATCTACATGGAAAAGCTCCTGAACAATTTTATTTAATATACAAGTTCTTTAATTGCCTCGTTATCAAAGGTAAAACAAAATATATTCCTACTCCATTTAAAATCATACCGTCGATTTTAAAAACTAGACTTAATAACAAATATTTCAATGCCTTAAAATCAGTCCGGTTGATCTTGAAAAAAATCCTTATTTCATGAAGGTTTTGCATGAGCAATTTTCAAATTGATCATTATTAACCATGAAATGAGCATTGATCATGTCATGATCCATATTTCATTACAAAATTAATTTTCTCTTTTGTCTCTGAACATATTAACATTGAGAAACAATGTTATATTAAAATTTAAATAAAGGATAAAGAAAAGACCACGAAAAGGTTTGGTATCCACAATAAAACTGTAAACATAATTTACCTGCAAGTGTTATAAAACCCTAAAACAAATGATTACATAACCTTAAGAGACCAGCCAATTATTAGAGATGAAAACAAAGAAAAATAATACAAGTCAACTATAGCTAAGATCAGTTTCATGTCCGTTCATGGCTAAATGTCTATTCAGTAAAAAACTTAAAAATATAAAGCATTGAGCTAAAATATGTTTGCAATGAATTATCAACACTATGTAATTATTTATTATGTGATGTAATAACTAAAATATTCCTTACAGTAAAAAAAAAAATTCAAAGCTCAATAAGTATTGTGAAGCAAATTTTAATATGAAGAGCATTTGGTCAAATGCTGAAGTCTATTCACATTTAAAAAAATATATTATGAGGCTTCATAAGTAAGAAAAGTCCAATTTTTATCAAAAAAATTTATTTGTAAGACCTTTGTGATAAGGAAATATTTAAGTTTGAAGTAACTTAAGTGATTATTGGATGAAGAATCTCAAGTTATCTAAAAAATTGTATTTTAAGAAAATTGATGTATTAATTTTTAATAGAATGCTTCTCGGTTACTGATTTCATTAAAACGAAACAGGATTGGTAAAATTTGTTTGAAATCAAAACTTTCTTTAAGAAAGGAAACGAGAATAAGTAATAAACATTTTTTTTTAGCTAAAACCAATTGCAACAGTACAAAAGGCTGGAATAAAATTTTGGGAAACAAACAGGAACTAAAATCTCTCTTTCACCCAAAAATGTTACGTGAAATGAATTTCATATGTCTTCAATGTGGTTTTATTTCCATAAATTTAAGTATTTAAATTTATTAAAATATTAGGTTATTATTTAAAAAATTTCAAACAACACAGACTTTGTCTCTAAAATGGAGCCAAAGATAAATCCGTCAATGTTTCACCAATCCAGGCATCATCAGGACAGGAAAGAACAGTTAATCGAACATTACTCCATGATATCCAAATATATAGTGAGTATTCTTTTGTTGTTGTTTAGGAGCTTTTCCATGTAGATATGACCAAATATTATTATTTTGTTCTAGGTAATGTGTTATGTACGGACCAGTATAAAATACTATACACATGGAATATTTATATTGCTCAAACTTAATAGATCCTGCTAAAATAACTGGAGCATATTAATCACCGATTGGTTACAAGAGCTCAATACAAGAACCACTTGTATATATTGTTCTGTTGGAAATAACTACTTCCAACCTCAGATATATGTGTATTTACTTTTGAATTGTGCAGAAAAAATTGGCTTTTTAAACAATAAAATCATGGTATTATTATCAACTTTTCTGAAAAAAAAATAGAATTTCAGTAGAAAACAGTATTACTTTTTAAGTTATACCAAATTGTGTCGTAACTAACCTTTTTAATTTGATTATTATATAACAATTAAGTAAACGTATAACATTTCAAAAATTAGAAAAAAAAAAAAGAAGGTTAAATCAATCTTCAATCTTATAATAATACATTGTTTATGGCTAGGCAAAAGAAAAGTTAAATTTTTTAACACCAGTAGATAAACACAAATATATTAATTTTGCAATTAATATATAAGTGATTCATTATCACTTAAATATATCTTATTGTTTGATTCTCCACATATTAAAAATATATAACATTGCATGAGAAAAATATTCACTTGATAAACTATATAATTTAATTTGACCAATGACTCTAGAGGGTAGAGGCAACAATAAACACACAAAAAAAAAAAATTTAATTTATAACATTTTAAAGGCACTTTTCACAAATTAGTTGTCAATCAAATTGACTGAGTAATTCATTAAAATATAACCACTTGCTGAGTACATGAAAATATAATATTATAAGTATCAAATCAGAACCATTAAATTTCATTTTTAAAACATACACAGATTGTATACAAATAAATAAATAAATTATACATATTTTTAAAAAGTATTAAATAGTGGTAACAATGAATGGTAACCTAATACTGTCCAATTTTTATTTTGTAACAAAATTTAAAGTTCAAATTCATAGTTTATCCACTTTTAGCAGAATGTGTTCTTCTTTCTAACTTAAGATTTCCTGAATACATCATATTTCTGAGAGAAGAAAGACTCCGAGTTCCAATATCTTGACAACTATGCCTGATTCCAGTTTTAATATACAGAAAAAAATTCGTAAAACGGAACCTTTGTCTACTCTTGCCCCACTAACACCTTGGGCTTTTAGGGGACTTTTACTTTGTCCACCTCACTGTGAAAGTATCTGTTCATGGCACTTCCAGAGGCATCTTTACGGTTCATGGCTTCCAAACTGCCCCAATACTTCTTCAGCTTAACACCATCCGCATAAAAATATTCTCCAGGTGCTTCAGAAGAATAAAGTGGATGGGCCAAACGCTAATGCTTTTATCACATGTCCAATAAACTGAATGCCCCCATCAGCAATCACTGGAACTACAAACCTTTGGGCATATTCAGCCACCTTATACACAGCAATAGCCTGTGGCCTTCCTACTGCCATTACTTCTTGAGTGATACATATAGAACCACTACCCATGCCAACCCTCAACCCATCAACACCAGCATCAATTAAATTCATGACTTGAGCAACAGTTTCTACATTTTCGCCTATCCCTTGTAAGTCAGGATATTTCGCCTTTATGTGGTGTGTCATTTCAATTTGAAAAATTGAATTACCTTGAGATGAGGCCAGAACTAAAACATCCACACCAGCTGCAACTAAAACTTCCAAGCATTTCTGATCTTCTTCACCTGTTTTTCAGGTCAGTGACTAAGCAGGCATCGACTAAAAGTTGCTTATTTTCATCTTTTAAAGCATGAGGGTATTCTCTTGACCTTTTCAAGTCAATGCTACAAGCTCGTCATTAATATTAATGATAGATAATTTTCCTTCCTGCTTTGGTAATGAGCTTTTCGTATATGAGGAGATAAGTAAGCAATGGATGCATGTATATAACTTAATGAGTGAGAGAAATGCTGGCTTTCTTACAAAATTGTATCATCATCCGTCCAAATTTCAATTAAGTGCTTTGAATCAGCTCATGTTTTCAGTCCTTATATTTATTACCTCCTATAAATTTACCTGTAAAAGCAGACAAATCATTTTAGACAGGCTTTTTCGCCAACTGAAAAATTGTTCATTACTCAGAGGTAAATAAAAACAATACATTTATTTCAAAATGATTGTAATTTAAATAAATGTAAGAGGTATTTTGAATTTTAAAAAATCAAGAGGAAATTTCCAGAGAACTGTAAAAATTATAATACGAACAGGGTAGAATATATACTTGAACTTCAGATTAACACGTCCTCACCCTTTTGAATTTTCTATTTTAAATTTTGAAAAGTCGTACAGTACTCATAATCGTACTAATGTGAGTTTATTTTATCTTATAACAGAAACATCACCAATCACTCATGAAGTGAGATTTGTATCTTATCACTCTAGTGTGAAACTCACCTTAATGAGCTTCATTATTTTCTTTTCACAAGCAAATTATGACCTTTCATTCAATCGTTTTAAAGTTTTGAAACCTTTTGGTAACTAATATCTCTATGTACGAGTAGAGCTCTATGGCATAGAGTGCGCTGTAGTGGATGTCGATTTTACAGTAGCTTAAGTTTTAAATTCAGGTGTGAGGGTCATTAATACAATTTATCATATTATGATTATTAATCCACTTCATTGATATATTGATATTGAATGGTAAATAGAAATTTTCAAATTATACAAAAACTAAGTAATACCACTCTGAAACAAATACTCTCCTACCACCTATAACAGGCTTATAAGTGAAATGAACTATTTTTTTCTACTTAAGATGCGATATACAATATCTACATTATGGTAAGAGGTAAACCATTTCATAAAAAATATTTTATTATCAATGTTCAAAAATGATTCTATTGATCGGGGATCAGTTTTTGAATTATATAAATTTGTAATAATAGTGGATTTATAATAGATAGTGTTGCACAAAATTGGTCTTGGTTATGCACTTTGCAAGACCATGATTAAGGACGCCTAACTGTTGCAAGACCAAGACTAAGAATGGAAAAAAAAATCCTTTCTCTGAAACTAAATTACGGCAAAATAGTCACTAATACTTGACAATTTAGTTAGTATATATAAAGAATTGGTATAACCAATATCCTTTGGAATTTAACTCTTCTAATTTTTCATTCATGCCTAGATAGGTTTCCCATATCTGAAAAATTACAGTCATATCTCTATAATAATAAGCTAATACTTAACTGCGAGACTTGCTCAAGACCTAGTGTGCAATTGGGCAACACTAATTGGGTGTTCAGTCACAAGTATTAAAGTAAAAATAAAAAAAATATATTTTATATTTATGAAATTTACATTAAATAATTTTCATTTGTTTAAAGTGTTTTTTTTCAATGGAGAATATTAAAAATAAAAATAGTTTCATGGTTGCTGACTTAGAATTGAGTTTCTGGTTTTCCAATGAAAGTTAATTTTCACTCGGTTTTTGTTTAAAGTTATAATAATTATATAAATTTGTTTGTGAAATTTGCCATTGAGATTATTAGATGAATTAAATGGAAATCGCAATATGCCGAAGTTAATTGAAATATATTTTAAAAAACCTTAAATATAAGAAAACAACATATTGTTCTTTAATGATGTAGAGATGGTTGACCGTTGATATAATATGAGAAAGAGTTAGTCGGGGGTGCGGTCAAATAAATACTAAATTAAAATATAGTAATTATTTTATTTTAATTTTGCCGACGTTTCGACTCACTTTGCAGGTCGTCTTCAGGGCTACAAAACATGTTGAGAATAAAAATTAAATATAAGTAGATATAAAATAAGAAGAAGTTGTCAGATACTAATAAGAGGGTCAAAACGTCAGAAAAATAAAAATAAAATAATTACTATATTTTAATTTAGTATTTATTTGACCGCACCCCCGACTAACTCCTCATATTGTTCTTTGATTTTATTATTTATTTTCGCGTAATATAAGTGATTCATAGACTTCATTCAACTTGCCCAACTTCAATTCTACCTTCCAAACCATTATAGTTAATAGTTTGTTGCAATAATTACTTTTTAAATTGAAATAACAAATACCCAATATGGCCGCCATATTGGTATGGCCACAGAGTATTATTAAGCCACTCTAAACCTTCCTCCACAATAGGGAACTCTACGGCATAGAGTTCCCCTTCTACATAGAGTTAATAGTGACCAAGAGGTTTCTAAACTTGAAAAGGATTGAGTGAAAGGTCATAATTTGCTTGTGAAAAGAAAATAATAAAGTTCTTTATTTTAACTTTAAGGTGAGTTTCACACTAGAGTGATAAGATACAAATCTCACTTCATAAGTGATTTGTGATGTTTCTGTTATAATATAAAATGAATTCACACCAGTAGGATTATAAGTATAATACAAATAGCCTGTCTAAACTAAGTCTCCTGCTTATATAGGTAAACTTAAAGGAGGTAATAAATATAAGGACTGAAAACGTTTTGCATTGATTCTAAGCACTCCCTTGAAATTTAGAGGATGCTGAGGCGATTTAGTAACAAAGAAAGAATGTTTCTCACTCATTAAGTTATATACATGCTTTCACTGCTTTCTCCTCTTTTATCTCCTCATGTACCAAAAGCTCAAAACAATTTCATCCTCACTTAACGACGAATTCATATTTAATGGCTTGAATCTTGTTAAATTATGTTGCTTTCGTCTATCTTATGAGATCGATATGAAGCTTGCTTGGTATGTTATAAAAATCGTTCATAGCTTGGATCCTAAGGAAGACGGGATGGCCGAGCTTGCTAAGACGTGGATCCCAGAGTGTTTGGTTCTTGATGTTGCGGGTTCGATTCCCTCCTTGGTAGGTTAATGTTAAGTTCTCAGAGAATCTTGACATTCCCTGTCGGGTAAGCACGCGGCACGGTGGCAACATCAATGTAGCCGTCGGGGGTTGGAAAATGGAACATGCATACCAGTTGCCCCATTAGTTCTCCCCACGAGTATCAGTACTAGCAGGACATATGATGTTAATCTGATATCACAAGCGTTATACGATAATTGTCTTATCCTACGATAATTGTCCTAAGATATGCGTAAGGTGACCAGATGTCCCAATTTTTAAGAATTTGTCCCACGTCCCGCCGCTTTTTTAAAAAGTCCCGATTTTTGAAAAGCATACACAAGGTAGAGGAGGGCTGGAGATTGGAAAGAGAATATATGGTTTTCGGCGGGCAGGTGGCTATTGTTTTTTAGGATTTTTTTCGTAATCTTTCACAAGGAATTGTCATGAGAAGAGAGGGAAATAAGGAAGGTGTTGAAAGATTAGGATCTGAAGGTGGCCAATTCCTGCTTTAATTTTTCATAGAAATAATTATAGGATTGACAATCGGTGGGATGTCTAGTGAGTTGCCATAATAATCTGGCACGGCGTTTGGTGTGGATTAGGATTATGAGGTGTTGAGATCAATTGTTTTTCTTGGGAGTTCTTGAGAAGTGGTTTGGAGAGGAAGCAGTCCTGATTGCTTGTTGAATAGTGGTGGTAAAGGAATGTAAAGCATTGTCAAGGCCTCCTGGGGTTTTCAGTGTTATGGATATCAATGTTATAGGAAAGGATTTGGTTTAGTTAACTGGATCACTGATGAAGGACGGCGGAGAAGGCTTAGGAATAAAAGCTAGAGATAATTGGAGTAATAATGGACCATGATCTGAGGAAAGATCATCAAGACGGGTAACGGAATGATTGAGGGGGCCTAAGCCACTGTGGATAAAATAATCAAGGATATCGGGATCTCAGTTAGAATATGTGGCCAGTAGGTAGTTGAGTTAAGAGGAAGGAGGCTGATACGTTGGGAATTGATTGCAAATAGTAATGTACTACCACGAGAGTTCGTGGTTCAAGAACCCTATTGTTAATGTTTAGCATTTAAATCTGCACACAGGTTGAAGTAATGTCCTAAGGAGTTGAGAAGAGAACTGAGCTGAATATTTTATATGAATCTGTTAGGAGGCAATATGCTGATGCTATAGTGACAAAAGGAGAAGGTTTTGATTACGATGGCGGTGGATTGTAAGAAATCTTGAGTCGGTAATGGGAGCGGGTGATGAGAGAGAGATTAGTGTGCAATAACAACAGTACTGACATTTGCTCTACCGTCAGGATTGTCAATACGGTATGTTATGTACTGAGATATATTTCAAAGCTGTTTTCTGGTCAGTCGAGTTTCCGTAATTAGTGCTACGTCGATGTTCTTGTCCAGTAGTAAAGCGTCAACGTGATTTCTAATATCATTCGCATTCCGAAGGAGAATCCATATGGGTCTCGGGATGCGAGTCATTTAATCATTTTTTTAAAGAAGAGATGAGGGCCGATACGAGATTTCTGAGCAGTGTATGAGTGGAGTAACTAGGGATTTGAAACCGGTGAGGAAAGATGCTAACAAACTGGTGATATTTGTTGCATTTGAAGGAGGAGGAATATGATGAATTTGTTGTTGCTGGTAAGATATGTTAGGATTTTGAGGTTGTTGTTGCAGCATTTATCAGACGAGTTCTTACCTCTAAGTAGTTGGGAGAATGATACATCATTACTCACTGTTCTAGAAGACTCTCTCTCTCTTGATCTTACTGCTTCACCTTGAATACAGTTTTTCCGATGTCTGAATTTGAGATTCTTGTAAATGTAGCAACATTTGTAGTTGGCCGTGTGTATGAAAAAAAATAACGATGGACTCAGAATTTTATTTGCAAATAACTCGAAAATTTCACAAATGTTACTCCATTAATTTTTATTGTCATATCTGTGTCCCGGAGGTAAGGAACACCATATCCATTTTTGTATTTGTTCAATGGAGCCAGTTTTCTATGAATCTTGATATTTTGGTTAATTGTGAAGGTTTTTTCAAGTATTTAAGTCGCTAAATGCTCCTTGTCCCAACAAACGTTCATGCTTTTAAGTAACAGTTTTTTTTTTAATGAATGGGTTTAATTTAATACCATAAAATGTTAAAATGTTTTTTCACTCTCAATAATACAGTTATTAATTTGTAAATAAAATATTGATAAAAAGAATTTTCTGTATGGAACTGGATATAATAAAATTATAAAATTTACTCAAATAATAACATATGAAAAAGAAATATATAGAGAAATGTTACATACAATGTTTTAATCAGTTGTAAAGAACGATTCTATTACATTTAATGATAATAATTATAATAATCGGGGAGTGGGGTAGATCAGTGGTAGGGTACTGAGCTTCCAATACTAAAAGGACCCAGGTTCGAACCCCGGCCATGGCAGAAAGTGTATTTATCTGTTTCATTGGTTGTTGGGTGACCCTGGGTTGGGAGCCCTCCGGGGGCACACCCAGCCTCTATAAAGTGGGTACCCTTAATTAAATAATTAATTAAGGGGAAAAATCTGGCGGTTGAGCGTGATCTCGGTCAAATCACCTGCTTACACAACCGTTGACCTAGAAACGGTGCTTTCCCTAAATAGTAGTGAACCTTTATGGGTTGTAGTGGTCCCTTGGGATCCCGAAGATGAATCGTACAAATCAATTGATTAGACGTTTTAGTCACATTTCATTGGTGCATTTTGACATTTCACGAACTATGGGAAACACAATAATCTAATTTAACTAACAACGACATTTTTCTAAACCAAACTATTATTTTAATTTCTCTTGATACCGACAACAAATAGAAAATATCAAAAACAAGAAACAAAAATTCTACATAGTGAAATAACCATTTATATATTTGTTTATCCCACAGTTTGTGAAATGTCTAAACGCACCTACATCCTTTTGTTTATGAAGTTAGACTTCGTAATACTGCTTACATATAAACGAGAAATACTTCTTTTTGATAAAATTTATGAAATCTATGAGGTTTATCTTTTAAATGTATTATTATTAGTTATTATGTTTTAAAATTACCAGGAGAGCTTGTCCCATATCAGACTGTTTTCAGTCCAAAACACCAAATGAAGGCGCAGTCAATTCGAAATGAATCGGTGGGGAAAAACAATTCATTTTAGGATGGGAGAATTGTTCTTAATCCGTGACGATTTTTTAAAATACTAAAAACGTAACAATTAATTTTAAATAGATATAAAGAGTTAATGAAAAAAGTTTTAATATAACCACTCACCTTAAATCAAGGCCAACTGAACTGAACTGTTGTCAATGCTGATGTAACTACGGACTTCTATAATCCTGCTTTTTATTAAATATCTTGTTTTTATTTTCCTTATTTTTAGAAAATTTATTTCATTAATTATGTCCACATGTTGTTGCTCTATATATCTTTACCCTATAATAAAACTATTTCCTAATTTTGCTATTTTTGTTTTATTTAACTCAAATAAATAAATCGAAACACCTTTTTGGATGAATGATTACGATTTTAAAAATAATTTTTAAAAAACGACTCTTGATTCAAGTGCATTAATAGTTAATTATTATTTAAATTACGCGCATAAAAATGAATTAAATAATAATCAAAACAGGAAAATGCTGGTGCAGCGTAATTTTCTTGGATGAGCTTGGTGGAGAGAATGGCTGGCATATCCTATTATAATAACCACACAAATATTAAAGTTAAAAAAAAAAAACATTTTATTTTAATCTTAGTTTAATACTAATTATTATTATTATTCCGGCACTTGTACAAACTTATTATGACTGACAAAATATTTTTTTTGTTTTTTTATACTTAGTATTTAATTTTCAAAAATTTTCTGTGACGGCAGCCTTGCCTAAGCTATGGTACAGTGAAGGAGCCACAAGCACTCAACAACAATGAGCCAAAAGAGTGCAAATACCGAAAGGAGCTAAAATATCGAGTGAAGTAAGAGGATTAAAAAAGATCGAGGTGGAATTAAATTGTATTGTATAAGAGAAGAATCGATACAATACTTATATCGAATGGTATCGGATAACTCTACTTATTTCAAACAGTGCACTGGCGGACACCGTCGTTGCTCGATCGGGGGTTATCTGTGATAGGACCACGTGCTCATTGATAAAGTTCACCAGAGCCCAAGTTTAGGTGTTAAAAAAATATTTATTTATTCCAAAAATGGCTGATACTGAAGATCCTTCTGATGGTCTCACTGGAAAGGATATATTTGGAAATGGTGATGGTTTGACCTATAATGACCTTATTATTCTGCCTGGGTACATTGATTTCACAGCTGATGAGGTAGATTTAACTTCTTCTTTGACTAAGAAAATTTCCCTTAAAGCGCCATTGGTGTCATCCCCGATGGACACTGTTACTGAGTCTGATATGGCCATAGCAATGGCTCTTTGTGGTGGAATTGGTATTATTCATCACAATTGCACCCCAGAATACCAGGCCAATGAAGTTCACAAAGTTAAAAATTATAAGCATGGATTCATAAGGGATCCTGTTGTGCTTTCTCCGAAGCACACTGTTGCAGATGTGTTCGAAGCGAAGAAGAAACATGGATTTTGTGGTTTTCCAATCACCGAAAATGGTAAACTTGGAGGTAAGCTGTGTGGTATTCTAACATCCAGAGATATAGACTTTCTTGAAGGTACAAACGGTAAAGAAATAAGTGTAGAGAAAGTTATGACAAAGCTAGAACATATTGTGAGTGCAGAATCAGGAGTTACTTTGAAGAAAGCTAATCAAATTTTAGAGGAATCTAAAAAAGGCAAATTACCTATCGTAAATGCTAATGGCGAGCTTGTAGCATTGATTGCTCGCACTGACCTGAAAAAGTCAAGAGACTACCCTCATGCTTCAAAAGATGAAAATAAGCAACTTTTAGTCGGTGCCGCTATTGGTACACGTGTTGAAGATCAGAAACGCTTGGAAGTTTTAGTTGCAGCTGGTGTGGATGTTGTAGTTCTGGACTCATCTCAAGGAAATTCAATTTTTCAAATTGAAATGATACACCATATAAAGGCGAAATATCCTGATTTACAAGTGATAGGTGGAAATGTCGTAACTGTTGCTCAAGCCAAGAATTTAATTGATGCTGGTGTTGATGGGTTGAGGGTTGGCATGGGTAGTGGTTCTATATGTATCACTCAAGAAGTAATGGCAGTAGGAAGACCCCAGGCTACTGCCGTTTATAAGGTGGCCGAGTATGCCCAAAGGTTTGGAGTTCCAGTGATTGCTGACGGGGGCATTCAGTTTATTGGACATGTGATAAAAGCATTAGCGCTTGGCGCATCCACTGTAATGATGGGCTCAATGTTAGCTGGTACTTCTGAAGCACCTGGAGAATATTTTTATTCGGATGGTGTTAGGTTGAAGAAGTATCGTGGTATGGGCAGTTTGGAAGCCATGAACCGAAAAGATGCCTCAGGAAGTGCCATGAACAGATACTTTCACAGTGAAGTGGACAAAGTAAAAGTTGCTCAAGGTGTTAGTGGGGCAATAGTAGACAAAGGTTCCGTTTTACAATTTTTACCGTACATTAAAACTGGAATCAGGCATAGTTGTCAAGATATTGGAACTCGGAGTCTTTCTTCTCTCAGAAATATGATGTATTCAGGAAATCTTAAGTTCGAAAGAAGAACACATTCTGCTCAAAGTGAAGGAAGTGTGCATAGTTTATTTTCTTATGATAAATGTTTGTTCTAACTATGAATTTGAACTTTAAATTTTGTTGCAATATAAAAATTGGACAGTATTAGGTTACCATGCATTGTTTCCAATGTTTTATACTTTTTAAAAATATGTATAATTTATTTGTATACAATCTGTGTATATTTTAATAATGAAATTGAATGGTTCTGATTTGTTATTTATAGTATTATATTTTCATGCACTCATAGCAATTGTTTATATTTTAATGAATTACTCAGTCAATTTGATTGACAACTAATTTATGAAAAGTGCCTTAAAACTGTTATAAATTAAATTTTATTTATTTGTATTTATTTTTGCCTCTATCCTGTAGAGTCATTGGTCAAATTAAATTATATAGTTTATCAAGTGAATATTTTTCTCATGCAATGTTATATATTTTTAATATGTGGAGAATCAAAGAATAAAATATATTTAAGTGATAATGAATCCTTGAATTATTTCACAAATATCTTGAGTAGTCTTGTAAAATTAATATAATTTTGTTTATCTACTGGTGTTAAAAAATTGAACTTGTCTTATGGCTAGCCATAAACAATGTTTTAATGTTTTATGCGATTGAAGATTGATTTATCATTCTTTTTTTTTTTCCAATTTTTAAAATATTATACACTTACCTATCAGTGCAGTTAGTAGTTTCAGTATTATATATTCGAATATTTTAATAAATTAGCAACAAAATTATCAAGAGACAGAATATGAATGTTTCCTCTCTAAAATACAGGAAAAGAAAAATCCGTGAACCTTTCGCCAATCCAGGCATTATCAGGACAGAAAAATAGCTAATAGAACGTTACCCCATGATTTTTTTATTTTATTTTTTTTATGATTTTTGGATTTCATGGAGTGATGTTCGAGTAATTGTTCTTTCTTGTCCTGATGATGCCTGGATTGACGAAACGACCTTTTTTTCTTTGTCTGCTTTTTAGAGACATAAGGCTGTGTGGTTTGACATTTTTCCAATAATTCGTCGGCCTGGGAGAGGTTGACTTTTATTTGGTAGTGGACCCATGTAATGACTTTAAATTTATGGAAATAAAAGCACATTTAAGACATTTGAAATTCATTTCAGGTAAGATTTTCGGATAAAAGACATATTTTAGTTAATGTTTATTTTCCAAAATATGATAGTTCTTTTATATTACTCCTGCCTTTTGTTTGTTATGTTGCAGTCAGCTAAAACATCAGTTTTAGCTAAAAAAAAAAAATGTTTATTACTTATCCTTGTTTCCAATCTTTAAAAAAAGTTTTGATTTCAAACAAATCGTACCAATCCTGTTTTGTTTTAATGCAATCAGTAACTGAGAAGCATTCTATTAAAAATCAATACATCCATTTTCATAAATAACAATTTTTTAGATAACTTAAAATTCTTCATCCAAAAATTACTTCAAACTTAAATATTCCTCTATCACAAAGGTCTTACAAATAAATGTTTTTTGATAAAAATTGGACTTTTCTACTTATGAACCCTCATAATAAATTTTTTTAAATGTGAATATAGTTTAACTTTTGACCAAATTCTCTTCATATTATTCTTGTTTCACAATGCTTATTTAGGTTGGATTGTTTTTTTTGTTTTTTTACAGTAAGGAATATTTTAAATTATTATGTCACATAATAAATGATTGCATAGTGTTGATAATTCATTGCAAACATATTTCAACTCAATACTTTGTATTTTTAGGTTTTTTACTGAGTAGATATTTAGCCATGAATGGACATGAAACTGATCTTAGCTATAGTTGATTTGTATTATATTTCTCCTTGTTTTCATCTCTCATAATTGGCTGGTCTCTTAAAGTTATGTAATCATTTGTTTTAGAGTTTTATAACATATGCAGATAAATTCTGTTAACAGTTTTATTGTGAATATCAAGCATTTTTGTGCTCTTTTTTTTATCCTTTATTTAAATTTTAATATTATATTGTTCCTCAATGTTAATATGTTCTGAGACAAAAGAGAACATTAATTTTGTAATGAAATATGGATCATGACTTCATGACATGATCAAAGTTCATTTCATGGTTAATAATGATCAATTTGAAAATTGATCATGCAAAACTTTCATGAAATAGAATTTCTTTCAAGATCAGCCAGACTGATTTTAAGGCATTGAAATATTTGTTATTAAGTCTAGTTTTTAAAATTGATGGTATGATAGGAATATATTTTGTTTCACCTTTGATGAAGAGGCTATTAAAGAACTTGTATATTAAATAAAATTGTTCAGCAGCTTTCCCATGTGATATGACCAAATATTATTATTTTGTTCTAGGTAATGTTTTATGTATGGTCCTGGTAGAATACTATACATATGGAATATTTAAATAGTATATTGCTCAAACTTAATAGATCCTGTTAAAATAAGTGGATCATATTAACCACAAGAGCTCGATACAAGGGACACTTATATATATTGTTCTGTTCCAAATATCTACGTTCAACCTCAGATATATGTGTATTTACTTATGAATTGTGTAGAAAAAAAAGGCTTTTTAAACAATAAAATCAACTTTGAATTCTGAAAACAAGTAGAATTCCATGAGAAAACATTATTAATTTTTAAGTTAGACTAGCTTTTGTCGTAACTAACCTTTTTTTAACCAATTTTTAATTTGATTTAATAACTAATTAATTTTTTGTAGCTAATCTTAATCGAAATTTTGGCATAACTAATAAGATGCTATTCTTGTTAATAGCATTTATTTGAACGCACCCCCAACTACCTCCTTCTGATATCATAATCACGGATAACCATCTTTACACTATTCTACTAACTTTCCATTTATAAGAATAATTAATAATGCATGGTCCTATCCACACAATATTAACAATTTTTTTTTCTATGAATAATTTAAAACAAAAAAATGTTTTTATTTCCTCAAGATTACTTATACAAAAGACAAACAAAAAATCATTATAACAAAACATTGGTTGGGTAAAATAACTATTTAAAGTATATTTAATTAAATACAAATAATGATAAAAGTATGAAATAATTTCAAAATATGCATTTATTGAATAATTGAAATATGCATAAGATTATTTTGTATAACCCGAATAATAAGAAATCCAAAGAATGCTCTGAGAAAAGAGATTAAAATATTTGGTAAATTTCAAATAATTAAAAATTCATGTAAGGAAAACATCAAGAAGAGGAAATACTTTTCTTTTGCTCTTAATAGTTACAATAAGAGCAGCTCAAGAATCTAAAAACATAAATATAGATCAAATAAAAAATTGTTATTTGACATTTTATATATATACATATTAAATTCATACTAAATGTCAGGCAACGATTGTTTTTTTATTAAACAAGTATATAATGTAAATCCTCATAAATTGGTATAATAGTAAAATAAAAATTGGTTTACTGTAAAAGCAAATCTAATAATAGTTATCTTATATTTAATGCTTCTCATTTTTTATTTACAACTTCTATATATTATTTTAACACCAAAATTGATGTAAATAGGTCATTAAATTTAATATGAATAAAGAGCACTAAATTTGCTTGGACCTCTTATTACTGGTGTTGTATGTTGTATTATATAATAGTTGAGGATTAAAAACTCACAAATTCCTAAACTAAACTAAAACAAAATTTTTATAAATAAGCTAAAGCTTATAATCAATAAGCTTTTTAACATTGATGTAAATAATTACAAGAAATAGGTGATAACTAACTACCTACTATGAATAAAAAATGGAAGAGTATAATTGAAATTAATAGTTATCTAATATCAACTAAGGCTGTTATGAAATGTCTTCATAACAAATTAGAAATAATAAAATTGAAAAAAAAAATTGTACAAATAAAGTTATAAAGTCAGTATTGTTAAAACAATTTTTTTTTTTTTTTAAATACTGCCTACTTGGTATTAGTCTCAAACCAACACCAAGTAAAAATTGTAGCAAAATCTGATGTTATTTTAAAATAATAGATTTCCTTTACCATTCCCATACATCTGCATCTGTATCTGTGAATTTACTGTTCCACCACTGAAATGCCAAGAGTGAAGGATTATGGCTTTCTTCTTCACTGTATTCATTTTCATTATAAAAATCTTCATCTTCATTATACATCGCACCTTCGTCATTGAGTTGTTCCTCTGAAAGTTGGGAAAGTATTTCTGCTGGCCCTGATTTTGAGCGTCTTGTTGTATTTGACATTGTTACGAGAGTATCTGTCAATTTATCGAAAGAATTTCTAACCTCTTCGACATCCTCTTTTTTTGCTTTTGTGGCATATTCTTCCTTCAGTTTACCTGTTGGTATAGTAAATTTTTACATTTAATTATGACCAATTGAGGTATCTGCTAACAAAAAGAGATTACTCCATTTTTTAAAAAATTGTTCGTTGAATTGTATGATTGTTTTAATTCCAAATTCTAGGCAGTCTTCATCAGAAAAATAGCTACATCTTTTCACAGGTGGATTTACAGGAGGAGGGGGGGAGGCTTTCGGGCTGAATCCCCCCCAAAATGGTAAAATGTCTCATGTTTTATGGTACAAGATTAGATTTTACAGTTTTTAAAATTGAAAGGGATAATTGTCATTAGTTCATATTCTAGCCACTTCATATGACAAACAAATTTTTTTTTCTTCAACAGGAAATCAGACAATAATTAGTTGAGGAAATAACTAGTAAAGATTGCCGCGATCCAAATGAAAACAATTTTATATTATAATAAAATTATTTAAATGTGTTTTATTCTTTAATGTTTTTAAAGTTATGATAGAATTATTTTAAATTAATAATAGTATTAATATTCATCTTTTAATAATAATTATCTGTGCACTTTGATTATTCCAAAAACTGATTTATTACGTCCAAAGCATTATCCTTTTAAATCAATAATAAAATTTTAATTTTATTATTTCTAAATATTAAAACAATTTAGTATGTAAAAACAAGATACTAATATTTTATTTAAGGTAGTTTATTGAAAAAAAAATCTGGTGCGCGCAACACTCAACTTTCACTCTA